CAAACTTTTTTTTTTTTTTTTTTTTTTAAATTATGCACGCGTCGTACATGCGGATGGCAGAATACAACTGCTGTCCCGTTGCGTTACGTTTTCTTGGGAAGAGGGGACAGGAAACAGTAGGTTATGTAACTTGGTGGAATGCGCACGAGGTGACCACGTAACGTAAAGATATATTAACGTAACTCGAAGAGCTGACGCGCGAGATTATTTCTCTCCATATCCTGTTACTCTCATTTGGGTCATATTTATATACGTGCCCTCCCAAGGAGGAAACAAAAAAAATTGTGTCAACAGAATGCAACGTACCACCCCACATGTTGAAGCTGCTCTCTGGAGGGAAGGAAAGGGGGAAGGACCTTCCCCCCAGTGAATAGTAGATATGATATATGTTTGACGGGAAGGAATTGTTCGAGTGTAGTTGTACTTTTTCACCTGCTGCGATTGAGCAGCAACTGAGCCGCAAAACCCAGCCGCCACCCCCCGGAGGACAGCTAAACAGATCGGCCAAAAGGGGACGGCCAAACGGGATGGCCGGACGGGGGTCAAATTGTCCGTCAATTTTTCGGCCAACTGAAAGATCAACCCGTTAAGTCAACGAGTGCTGATAGCTCATTTTTTCCACTTCTAGCGGATGGCACAAAATGCAAATCCCACCCCACCACGAATTACATCCAATGGGAAGATAACGCAAAGTGGAGTCCCTTTCTCCCCACTGAGTTAAGACTTCCTTGTGAAATATCAAAAGTGGATGTAACAGTTTTTACGTGAAGAAGAAGACTTTGGGGGAAGGAAGCATAACAGACAAAATCGAACCATCCGTTCATGTCCATCCGTCCAAGTAAACAATCGGCAAGCTGTACATACCTTTTTGTAGCTATACCTCCCCGCATAGATGTTACCTTTTTTCTCACTGAGTTGCCTTTCACGGGCATAATCTCTTACACACGTTATTTTTTGCCTCCTTGCGAAGGTGTCTATAAACGGCACAGCTCGAACAAAAACTCCAACCAGGTTAATCCAAACGTAGGAGAAGATGGCATCTGCGAAGTAATGCCTTTTCCACGTCAAGACATGGGGGGAAAAACACATGGAGGTTAAAACCCATCGAACAAAGTGCGCTGTTTTGTTCTCTTCCCGCGACATCGTGCCGTCGAACCAACGTTGTAATGGTCCACAAATGAAGCCAGACATTGGAAAAAGTTTCGTCTCAAGGGACAGTCATTATTAAAGGGTAAGAAAAAAAAAAAAAAAAAAAAAAAGTTGCAAAGTTGCGAAGCTACAAAAATGATGAAAAAATGAAAAATTAAAAAAACTGGAAAACGGAGCGGCATATGCTGCTTTACTCCGAGGAGTCTATAAAAAAATACTAAAAAGGACAGAAAAAAAAAAAAAAAAAAAAAAAAAAAAAAAAAAAAAAAAAAAAAAAAAAAGGCAAAGGGGAGGGAGGCAGCACGATGTACAGGTGCATACATCCCTAGGTACACTCTTCCGTAGGTGAATAACTCTAGCGTGGGCATACCCTTCCGTGTACGCGTCGCCGAAGGGCCTAGCTCGAGTAGACGACCTCTGGGGCCGAGTCCAGCACGGAGAAAGTGCTCATCTGGTCCTTGTACTCCTCCAAATCGAGGAGGAGGTCACCGTTGACATCGAAGGAGTAGAGCATGAACTGCAAGTTCTGGACGAGCGACTCGTCGACGTGGAGGTCCTCCCGGATGTAGCTGAACAGGGCCTCCCGAGCTCCTTTGCGATAATCACGCTGGCTGCCACCATCGCTGCTACCGTCGCTCTCAAGGTACGCACTCAACTTTCTATACGCCTCCCCATCCTGGGTGACATATAACAGCAACTCCGGCAGGTCGATGCGCCCATCCAAATTCAAGTCCAAATGGAGAAAATTAGCGAGGTGATCGATCTGCATGAGAAGGGACAGTTGGAAATCCTGGAACTCCTCAAGCTGCAACTTCTCATCGCCATTTATATCCCACGTGCTTGTTTCATTTTTCAAGAAATTCTTCACCAAGGATTGAACGAACTCATCCTTTCTCGTAAAGAAGTAATCATCCACGTCTTCCATCACGTCGTTTACCACGTTGTCTAAGAATTCGGAAAAATATATCTCCAAATAGTTGCTAATTGTAGCCCCCTCGACTACGCTCTCTTCATCAAATAGAATCTGAATGAGCTTAACGTAATTGAAGTCATACGAATTTAGAGACAAGAATTCGACGTAGTCAATTTTTTGGTCCTTGTTTACGTCGAAGAGGTCGAATAGGTAACTCATCACCTTCTCATTTATGCTCCTCATTTTGGACAATATGCTCACATTCCTTCTGAATTCGCTGAAATCTATAACGCTGTTTTTGTTGCTGTCTAGTTTCTTAAATATCATGCGAGACTTTGCGAGGATCTGCTCGTTCAGAGCGGGGTTGTTCGTGTCGATGGTGAAGTCGGTGTGGCGGTCTGGGTGGCGATCTGGGTGGCGATCTGGGTGGCGATCTGCGTGCTGATCATCGTGGTGATCACCGTGCTTGACCCAATCGCCCTTCATCTTCTTCTTCCCCTCGCGCACACTCCTCCAGTCATTATGAAAAAAATCCTTGTGCGCGAGAGAACCGCCACATATGTACAGAGTCTCCACTTTGTTGAAATTTTTGTGCAGAAAGTCACATACCTTCTTGCTAGACAATTCTACCGAGAAGAGGCTATTTTTTCGTTTTACGAAATTTTCGGTTAAAAAAAAGGCAGCCACGAGGGACGCCAGCACGAGGGCGTGTGACAGGAGGGCATCGTGTCGCGCCCAAGGGAAATGCAAGAGCTTCATGTTTTCTAGGTGAGGCGTCTACGAGGAAATGTGCAAAATAAGGGCCTCGGGGCAGAGAGTGACCTGGGCACGATCTCTCGGTTGAGAGGGAGCTTTGCTGCACTTAGCTACTAATCGGGGAAGGGAAAAGCGAAGAGGCTACTTTTCCTCCTCAGAAATAGTTTTACAAACTATATCGTGGAAAAATACCTCCCTCTTCAAATTGAGGAAGTTAAAATGTAGAAATAAAGGGATGCTTTTCCGGAGACGGACGAATTAATTCTTACAAACACGGGACAGTAGACAGGAAGTGGAAAATGAGAAACAACATGGACGACGTTGTTTCCAGGAGGACTGTATTTACGTGGAGTAATTAATTACGGAATACATTTCAACGTCGGAAAAAAAAAAAAAAATAGATGCACACGAGACGGAATAACGCGTCACGGGCAGTTAATGCTAATTCGTTTTTTAATTCGATCAGTTAATTACATCGGAAGGTGATAAACGGTAGGGAGTTGTTGTCACTCACTCAGTGGGCATGCAAGCGTGAGTCTGTCTGTACACACGTCTACAGTGAGAAGGTCGAATGGACGAGACTTAACTTAGCGCACGTCCTTATCGACAGATGCGTCCAACTTGGCAGCGGCGGAGTCTTCCAAATTGTGGAAGAGGCAATAAGTAGGTAAGTAGGTAATTAAATAACTAGGCAAATGAATAAATGAATTCCTAAATTAATGGGTGGAATGCTAAGCAAAGAGAGCAGCGCACATGGCTAATAAATAAATGAAGAGGTGGTTAATGTGGGGAGCATTCGGCCGCCCGAACGCTTTTTTTAGCGATCAATGGGGGAGCGGCATTGTTTACATGTGTGTGTATATTGTACATTGTATATTTTATGTTGTATTTTGCTATTTTATAATGTATATAGATTTTTTTTTTTTTTAGTTGCAGTGAAGAAGATTCATTTTTTCTCTTTTACCTGACTCTGCAATATTTTTTTTTTTTTTTTTTTTTTTACACCCTTTTTGGCTAACTCGTGGGTGGTTAATAAGGTTTCCTTACGTGTCTGTCGAGTCGCGTCCAGTTGCGCGCTTAAGTAGGTTGCGTGTATAACCCATTGCGCGTATAACCGCATCGCGTGTGTAACAACATTTCGTGTATAATCACTCCGTTTGTGAGACCACACTGCGCGTTCGCTGTAGGTATATTTTTTTTTTTGCTCTCTGTTGAGTCTTTCTGGCGGAGGGAAAAAACGCGTTTACACACACAAGACAGCGCAATTTTCTGATCCAGGAAAAAAAAAAAAAAAAAAAAGATGACCTGTTCAGAAAAAAAGTGAAAATTGAACATGGTCGAGAGAGTATATATATATTTTTTTTTTTTTAGAGAGCCTTTTAGCCCTATTTTACAACTGACACTTTTGCGCATTGGAAAAATTGAGCACATTCGCGTCCACTTTGCGTGTTTTCTCCGGCACTTTCCATCGCCGCGTTTGCGACATAGACTCCGCGGCATATATGTAGGCTCCTCCCTCCACTTGCTGCATGCCCGCAACGCTTGACTGGACAATTTGACAATGCGACAATATTTTCTGAGGCTTCGCCCCTTGTTGGTCCATTTTCCCCTCCTCGCTGGGGGTTAAAACTGGGTAGGCGGGGGATAGCGGCGATGCGGAGAGGAACTGGATCCGTCTGCCCCAGGTGTGCAATCACGAACAAGTGTGTAAAAGCATGCATAGGTATGTACATGCGTGCATGCACTTACGAACATGCGCATGAGTACTTACATTTATGCGCGCTCGGGGGCCAAGGCGGGACGCTTCTCAATTTTGCCGCGCGTCCCCGATCGAGAAGAAAATGGGGACCCCCAATGAAACGTTCCATTAGGCAGGGCCGTTGCCGTTTGAGCGCGCCGTTGTGGGAGTTGCCTAAGTTTATTTCCCTTCCCCCCGCACACGCGCTCTACAAAACTGCTGGCATGGTTTTAAAAGGGCGAATGAAACTGCTTCCCCAGTGAATGTCGGTGCGCGTGCATCTTCGCACAGATGTACATACCTATATGCATATATACGTAATATCTATGGCGTTATGTACAGCTCACGCACCCGGGGTGGTTTTCCCCTCGAAACGTTTCGCCCCCTTATGGGAAGCATGTGGGATGTCCCATTCCGCGACAGAAACGAATCTGTTAAGAGGAAAAAGGGAAATTACCAACGCAATGCAGCTGCAAAAAGAGACGTCATTAAAGCAGGGATGTAACTACCTAACGGTACAACTGCGGAGTGATCCAACTTAGGAGCTCTCTCCATATCCCTCTCGGAAAAACATGAACAAATTGATTGGGGCACAAATCCCCCGCACTTGGAACAACAAGGCCTGGGGAAACTTCTCCCAAAGTAGGTATGTCTCAGCCAACTTTGAGTACAGCCCCTCCAGTACAATCTCCCGATTTAAGACCATCCCCATTGTCGAACGGGATTCAACGAAATGGCAGAAATCATGCCACGATGTGAAGGGACAGCAGACATTCCCCGATAGCAACCACGAATTTTTTGAGCTAATTAAAAAAAGTGCAAAAGATAAAAAGCAACAAAATGATCTCTCCCTTTGGAACAAGTATTGCAGAGAAGTAAAAATCCGAGTGAACGAAAAGAATATTAGTCCCCAGATCATTACGACTTTTTTTACGTTCCTTTCACAGACGGATTATAAAAATGACCGCCTTATCAGTGAGGTGCTAAATCGGTGCATTCTGCGCCTTGGCGAATTTGACCTCGTGCACATGTGTGCTCTGCTAAACGCGTTGGGGCGGATGCACTTCCGAAGCGCCTACTTTTTGGACGAGGCGGGGAAGAAGCTGATGGGTGAGGGGGACGCCTACTTTGAGCGACACTCGCCGCACTACGTGTGTCTTCTGGTGAACAGCCTGGCTAAGTTGGGCGGCGCGCCGGAAGAGAGTAACAGAGAGCGTAGCGGTGAGGGTAGCGATAAGGGTAGCCATAAGCGTAACGGGGTCGAATCGGGTAACCAGGATAGTAACGAAGCTGGTAACCATGACGGTAACGAAGAGGGGAGTAGTGATACCCTCATCGCGAGCGAACAGCGCAACGCTGATGACGGCGCGCCCGAGGGGCAGCTCCTGCCCCGCATGGTCCAGCGAATCCAGCATAGACGCGCGGCAGAGTACAGCCTCGTGGGGATGAGTCTCCTCCTGTACAACGTCTCCAAGTTCGGCCTCCAAAAGTACTACCACCTCTTCGGTCAGTTTGAAAAACACATAGTGAAGGTAAAGAACGACCTAAACATGATTCAGCTACTTAATATATTAATCGCATATGACAAGACGTCCCTCTTGAGTTTGTCTTTTCTGGATGAACTTTTACACATCCGAGCACTGCAAGGTGGAGAAAAAAATCGAAAATGCTGTGTTCACCATTTGGCGAGACTACTAAACGTTTCCCTTTCGTTCGTGCTCTATACAAAAGAGAGAAGTGTGCCAACAGGGGGAAGCGATGCGTTACGTCGCATAGGGAAACAGGCTCTTCATATGTTTATCCAGATGTATAGACAGCTAGACAAATGTAGGGGGAAGGACCTTCCTTTGGTATGCCAAACGTTAAGTAGAAATAGAAGACTCATCATTAGGAGGAAGGGAGAAAGTGGCACTGTGAATTCCCCTTATTTGATCTTCTCCCCCCCAAGGTGTCTTCTTACCAGCCTTTTTGAAAAAATGACAATCGGGGTGAAAAAATATATTCACACGTACAACCATGTGCATCTATCTACCATCCTTTACTGCTACGCAAGTTACGACATCCGAGACAGGACCGTTTTTAATCTCATCAAGTTGAGATCGTTAAAAATATTTTCTTCCTTTGGACACAAGTCCTTTTCCTTTCTCTTCAATGCATTTAAACGTATGAACATAGAAGATGGTGTCTTCGAAAAGTCTTGTCTGAATAGAATGGGACAGTTGGGTCATTTTAGCTGCGTACAAAGTTTATGGCTGACCCTCTCGGCCTACGCCTCCGTGAGGGAGGAGAGACAGACGGAGGACCTTTCCCGTTTGATGTTTTCAAATTTTAGGAAAGTCATCTTCAGTGTCGCTTCGCCTGGTGTTGCCTCCACGGTTGTTGCTTCGTCTAGTGTCGCTTTGTCTAGTGTCGCTTTGTCTAGTGTTTCTTCGTCTAGTGTTGCTTCGTCTAGTGTTGCTTCGTCTAGTGTTGCTTCCCCTGGTGTTGCTTCCTCCGGTGTCGCTTCCCCTGGTGTCGCTTCCCCTGGTGTTGCTTCCCCTGGTGTTCCTTCGCCTCGTGTTGCTCCCCCGAACGTGGGCGAGCAGATCGCCCGGCTGACGAGCCTCCTCACCAAGGTGCGGAAAATCCCCCCCGGGAAGGTGCTGCACCTCCTGGCGAGTCGCTATCCAAATTATGAACATACCCTTTCAGCGGACAACTGCACAAGTCTCCTCACTTTCGTGTCAAATCTGTGTGCCAGCCTAACCGAGAAGGAAGAGAAGCCATCCTGGAGAAGCTACTACCATTTTGTTAACTCCCTAACGAAAAAGATTCTTGCATCTAGCCATTTGTACAGAAACAAAGATCTGTTAATAAACTTCCTACACGGAAGTGGGAAAACCTTCCCTTCTTTTGCTAGATGCACCAAAGTGGACGAGAGAAAGATGTTTTATTTTGAGCAGATTCTCAGAATTGTGTTGCCACATGTGTATCCTTTTATTGGCCAAATGAACATGGGAGAAATTGCCGTCCTGGTGGAGTGCCTCAGCAAGGAGAACTACTCCCTGGAGGCAATGGCCGCGGTGGGCTCGGCGAGTGACATGCAGTTCGACGAGCTTGGGGGGGCGGTGCTGCGCCGGGTGAAGGGGCTGCTGCGCGGGGGGAAGGAGACCAACGAGGAGGAGGCAGACGTGGGGGAGACAGACGTGGGGGAGACAGACGTGGGGGAGGCAGACGTCGATCACACCACCATACGAATCGCTAACGCAATCACCGTTTGGAGGGGGTTGCTGAGTCTGGCCCTTCACGACAAGGAGGTGTTCCAATTGATGGTCCAACGATGCATACTGTCTTCGCCATGCCTATCGTCCGTCACGTCTTTGTCTCAAGCCATACACTACGTATGCGTGTACAGCACGACCAGTGAGCCCATTCCAAAGAAGAAACACATAGGGCTATTACGCTTTTTACTTAACATTGTACACAGGTTGATGGTCAATGAGGGGGTGCTTCATCTCAACTGCAGAGGGGAAGACGAGGAAGACGGGGAAGCCCTTATCTCCGAAGAGAATTTAAGAAGATTTTCCAAGGAACCTCTTCTGGGGAAGGCCCTCACATCGTTATGCGATGCTGTTATGATAATCCTGCCCCATGTGTGCAACATAGAGACGGATAAACCTTCGCAGTCGTCCCACCCTTCGGATAACGACCTTCATTCCATTGCCTTTCGACCCCTGATCAGCCCTTCTTTGTTGCATTTTTATTTGGCCATCTTAAAAATAACTGAACAAGTCAGGCAAAAGGAGAATAATCAATATCATCCATTCCGCAGAGACGAGTTACGTGACGTAGTGGAAGAGATACGCCAGTGCGCGTTGGGCATTCACATGAGCAGCGTGTACGTGGAGCTTCCCCCCTTCAGCGTGCTGGTGTTGGGTGGGGCAGCATCCCCTTCTTAGCGTTTGGGGGAGTTCACAAAAAGAAGAAGAAAAAAAACAAATAAAAAGAAACAACAAAAAAGCAACACCTGTTCGTTTGCGAGCGAGATGCACACATAATCACCTTATGCATATTTACGTAACGATCATTTTAAGATGGTGAAGGGGGGAATTGTCCCGAAATGGAGGTGCGCCAACGGCAACTGCTATCTGTGTAGTGGGGTAGTAAAAAGAGAGCTTCACTCGTGGGGATACATGACCGACCAAATGGGTTCCACCCCCTTCGGAGCCCCCAGCATATTTTGCGCTCCCTTTGGTGCACTTTTTCGAGCGGGTCCCCCCGTTTTGTAGAAGAAGCCCGTTCCCCTGGATGTCATTATTTTGGGAGCAATTCTTTATTATTATTTTTTTTTTATTTTATTCTGTATTTCATTTTATTCTTCCTTTTCTTTTCTTTTCTTTTATTTTTTCTTTTGTTTTTTTTTCCTATATGTGGTAACTGTTTTGGGGGAGCCGTTCCACGAAGGGGTATTATGTGGCCTCCCCACGGAGCTCTGGTCAGCACCTGGTTCATTGGGGGAGGGCGAACCTCTGTGTGTGTTTCCCCCATCCGAAGTGATAATACCTCCAAAGTGCTAATTAGTAGGCGGGAAGAACAGAACAACGATTGCCACGATGAAGCGGACGAGCAGATACGGGCGAGTAGGGAAGAGAAAAAAAGGTCTCATAGTAGGTTATGACAGGATGAACAATAAGGACCACATTAGGAGTAAGCAGCTGCTGACCAAGTTAGACAATTTCACTTCATGGGAAGAAGGAGCTCGAAGTAGGTATGCAAAATCGATCCTTTTACAAAAGGAGAGTAGCCTCCTACTGAAGGATGTGATCCATTGGGGTCAGAAAAACAAAGAGGTTAATGAAGCTTTTGTCCATGTGGTGAAGGACTCCCTACACTGGAATCCACTTAACATTGGCAGTCTGTTCAATTTGGTTTATTTTTACTTTATAAAAAATGGGCAATGTGGGTCCAAGTTGGGAGAGTCCCCCTCTGATCAGGGGCAGACGCAGAAGCCGACGCAGAAGCCGACACAAGGGCAGATGCACGCGGAGAGGAGTTGCCTTCTATATAGCCACCTCTTGCACTCCATTCTGATGCATATCTGTAGAGGCCAGTTTAGTAGAGAAAAAGCAGGCGTAGTGAAGAAGGGGAAGGCCGGGGGAAGAAACATAAGAGCAGTTTTTTTTTCCCTGTTTAGGGAAGAGATCAAGAAAGACATTTTTCAGATGAGGCTGATAAGGCGTGTTTGGGACAGATGGAACAGCATCCCCTGCATCAATGATCCAGCGCCGTTAATAATCTGTGTCGAAAATGTGCACATGTTATGTGTGACAAACTATAGACTCGGGCTCATGCGTGACGTTTTTTATTACGCCAATTTGCTACTGCACCTTCTGCAGCTACGTAGCCTGAGGGGCCTTCTGAAGGCGAACCATTTCTCCCTTTCTGCCACCCTATGCATGGCGAAGGCCGCTTCCTTCGTGCTGACCTGTTCAGGCGACCGACGGGTTTACCACTCGACGGGTTTAGGCGAAATTGGCGATTTAAGCGGTGTTGGCGATTTAGGCGAAGCTGCCGATTTAGGCGAAGCTGCCGATCTACACTGCTTGCACAAGGCGCAAAACCGAATGAACGGAATGAAGATGGGGGGCCCGAGCAAGGGGGTGGACCTTCAGACGGATGACTCTTTTTCGATGAGACGATCTACAAATGGTGTGGACAAGGAGGGGTTCACACTTATTGACGAGGACCTCCCGAACACACTGATGAAATGTGAAGAACGCTTTTTATCTTTCCTGTTAAGCGAAGAAGAGACAACCATGAGGGCGAAACGTGTGATCGAGCAGGACAACATCCTTGAAGAATACATCCACTACACACTCTCATCAGTGGTGACAAAAGTAAACGTGTGCATAAATCACTGTCTCAGTTATCGAGAGTACCAGTCCTTGGCGCAGTTTTTAATGTGGAGGGCTCGTCTATATTACCATGTAGGTCTGTTTCGAGAATGTCTTTCAGACACCAGCAAAGTGGCGTTGATGAATCTACACGCGGGTGCTCCACTGAGAATTGATTCCGACGGAGGAGGAACCGCTAACTACTCCTGCCTTGGCTTGATGCTGTCCTGTTTGCATCGCCTGAACCTCCTGCGCGCGTGTGATTCGTATTTACTTATTCCGTTAAGGAGAGGCGACACGGGGAGTTACACGTGGAAGGGAAGAGCGACCTGCACACCAGAAGCCCATGCGGAGAGAAGCCATACCTTTAACAAGAGAGAGCATCCGTACTCTTGGTGTCGACCCCCCGAGGATAAAGCCCTCCTCCGTGTGCTCCACGGGAATAGGAAGAAAATCCCGTTTATGCTTTAAGCAGGAGTCATGCCGCTCCACGCCGTTTGGCTAAACCACGAAGTGACCTCCACGCGTCATCCCGTTTGTGACAGCCTTCCGAAGGTGTGCCCAAGCCTTTTGGGTGTTTCCCTCGGCAATTTTTTCTGTATGCCCACTTTTACCATTTGTACCGCCCCGTACCACGTGTACCGCTTGTACCATTTGGATTTTTTTTTTTTTTTTTTTTCGTTCCGTTGGTGGCAGCCTCCTGCGCGATCGCCCTGTTGCACTGACACCTCTCCACCAGTTTGCCTTAAACTTTTTAACTTCACGAAAAGGAGAGGAAGAGCTGACGATGTGGTTTATCAACCGTACGTTCGTTCGTTTGTTCCATCGTTCGTTCGTTCGTTTTTTTCTTTTTTTTTAAAGTCCACTTTGTAGAGGTGTGAAAGTGCTTCCCATTTTCACCTGCGCAGAAAATATATCAAATAGGAAAATCTGCCTCGTCTCCCACGGAGAAGTGACCCCCCCCCACTGCGCAGCTGACAACCTGCAGATCGGAGTGAACCCCCTACAATGCCTATTTTGCACCACGAGGGATGCGGGTGTAAGGAGGCCGACGAGGTGTTGAGGGGTGGAGAGTTCCTGCTCAAATATATGGACATCGAAAAGGTCACTGCGCTGAACGAGCAGGTAACGTGTTGGCAGGGCAGCTTGGGGGGTGAAGGTGCGCTCCACACGGTTACGACGTGTTCGCCACGTCTTGGCCACTCCTTCGCCACACTGTTTTTTCCCCTGTTCGGTAAACTGTTCCTCCCCTGGTTGCCCTTTTTTTACCCTTCAAAGGTCCCCGGGTCGTGCAGGAAGATTCTGAAGTCATATGACGAAAGACTGTCCCCCGCCAACTGCGAGAGCGACGCGGACCATGAGCTGGTACGATCCGAGTTGGTACCGCCGCGTCTGAGCAGCAAAGCGGCACATGTGTGCTATCCCCTAAAGACGCCGTTCCCTACGCCTGATTGCACTTCCACCCCTTTTTAACCCATCTGATCCTATCACCCCTTTTTCCCCCCTCATCAGATTATTAACATTCCTTTTACTAGTCCTTGCAAGGTACAGGCTACTTCTGGGAGAGGAGCTGCACGTTGCCGCTCTACGTGGGTGATGCGGCTCCACGTCGGCGATGCTCTACGTGTGCATGCTTCTTCTATGTCTGTATGTGTGATGGATCCCCCACGGAGTGTACCCAAGGTGATTCCCACTCACTCACCAGCCGCAAACGAACCGCTCACCAGCCACTCATTTACCCCACTGCACTTTCCCCAGATCGTCAGTCTGTTCCTCATTGGAGGGGAGGAAGGAACCTACCCGAAAAAAATCAAAATTTACGCCAACCGGGAGGACATCGATTTTGAGAAGTAACTCATTTTTTTAGAAGAAGGGAGTGACTTACCTCACCCAGGACAGCAGCCATGTGGAGCCTAGGAAATCAGCAAATCGGAAAGTTGACCAATTGGCAGATCGACCAATCGACAAATCCAGACACCTGATGCAAACGCGTTGGCGCGTACGCCCCCCTTTCCATCTTCCGTGCAGCATTCACGATTTCAAGTGTGTGCAGGAGCTGGACCTCTCGGAGGACTACCACGGCTCGGTAGAATATCCGCTAAAGGTCCGTCTTCACTGGCGAGAGGCTTCACTGGTGGGAGGTCTGGTGTTGAGAAAAAATTTTGGGAGTCTTTTGGGGGCCCTTTTCCTCTCCTGTCCTTCCTTTCCTGCCCATTTGCTGCTTTCTTCCCCCCTCTGCCCCCCTTCGCAGGTGACCTCTCTGTTCAACGTGACCCACCTGACTCTCTACGTTTGTGAAAACTACGGAGCGGAAACGAGCAAGATATTTTACTTAGGTGTGCTGGGCGTGTGTGTCTGCGTTTGTGTCTGCGTGTTTCTGTGTGTGCATGCGTCTGCTCCCTTTAGCCCCTCCTTAAGGGACCGCTTAACCACCCCTTTAACCTCCCCTTTTCACCTTCCCCGACAGGTCTGAAGGGCGTAGGGACCAACTACACGAGGAAGGCGGTCGAAGCGGTGGGTGAACTATTCAGCGTTGTCTCCACATGTCGCGCTTCGCTTCTTGCTTCAGGTTCCTCAATTTTCTCTTATCACCTGTCACTTCTCACCTCCCATGGCGCACTTCCCCCTTGCAGGTCTACGAAGCCTCCCCGAATTTGTCCGATCACAAGGTTAAAGGCGCGGGAAACAAGATGCACTTCTCCTTCGACGCGTTTTAGCCGTCGCGAGTTATCCGTTTGTGGAAGAGCAAAAAGGTGAAAAAAAAAAGAAGAAAAAGAAAAAAAAACCTGTGCTGGAGCCCTCGCTTAGTCGTATGCAAAAAGAGTCCCTCCGTGGAGGAACTCCGTCTGGCAGGGACCCTACGTCAAAGTGGACGATCCGTTTGGACCATCCGTTTGGACCATCCGTTTGGACCACCCGTTTTGCTTTCCCCAAACGTGGTGTGGGTACTATACTGACGGATGGGTCGTTAATGTCCTGCGTCCCTCCGGTGAAAAATGTGTACATACCGCATGACTGTGTCGCATGTTCCCCAGACGCACGGGGTCCAAATGGGGGAATGAATGAGAAGGTGCCCACTTTTTCATTGTGACTGGAAGGGTGGAGAAGGTTGTGTGTGCATATAAAGATCAGCGCCGTGTAACGTGTCGTGTAACACACTACGTAACATGTCGCGTAACGTTCTGTGTTTTTTTTTTTTTTTTTTTTGAACATGTCAGATGATGTCATGTGCTTGGCTTGGCGAGGATCACTTCACGTCATGCCGCTCTTAACAGAATGATGCGTGGCATAAACTAGCTTTTATTTTTCAAGTACTTTGCTTCGTTAAATATTTTCCTTCGCATGGATTATTTGCACTTAAGCGTTATGTTGTGAAGAAGAGATGTTGGCTAGTTGAGAAGTTGGGGATAGCCTTTTTCTTTTTCTTTCTTTATTTTTTTTTTTCTTTTTCTTCTCCTCTCCCTTGCGGCATGTTCCTCTGGCCCACTTCACCTTATGTGATAGGAGTTTCCCCATCTGGGACTCTCTTTCATGTTTCTGTTGCTCGCCCCCTGTTGGAGCCAATGCCAGAAAATTATGAACCGGAGGAACATCGGACTGGCGGCTAAATGTTTGGCCATCATCCTCTTTACCTGTTTTTTCTCCACCAGGGAATGTAAAAGCGGAGGAAGGCAGATAAGGCAGAGAAAGCACAGTTTTCTTTTGAGCCAATTGGTGGGAAATACAAAACGGGGAGGTAATACATGCCCACGGGGGGGAGGAGGCCTTATCAATGGCGCCTCCCGCGCGAGGACGACGACACAGTGGCGGAATAACCATTTGAACTTCTCCCGAAGCGGAGGTGACCGCTGTACACACGGAAGGTGTGCACGTCGGACAGGAGCTGGAGTGGCGCAGACGCTACGCATGTGGGAGGTACTACCCATCGCACACGCTAGGTTAAGCACTACTTCTTCGACTACCTCTATGATCGGGCCTACCACTAGCCTTACCACTTCGTCCAGCCCCCCCCTGTGGGCGCGAAAAATCGACCAAAAGGAAATCAAGCGGAGGAAAAACTACCAGTACGCATTAAAGCACAAGTTTGATAAGAACGGAAGACGAATAAAAGACATCAACAAGGAGAGAAAATCTCTAAAAAAAAAGAAGTTATTTGATTACGAGGGCTTTAAGGTGGATAAAATCTTTACCTGCCTGAGTGAAGAGGACATGCAGGAGTTGCGCGAGGAAGAGTTGAAACGAAAGTCAGGTGAAATCCTTCACAACAATAAATATATTGATACTTACGGGGTGGAGTCAGAGACGGACATGGACGACCTGTGAGAGGGGCTACTCAGGTGATGTTAAGTTGTTGTCATTTCATCCAGTCCCGTTCCGTCACTTGCCTTCCCCTGCCTTGCCTCTTTTTTTAAACATCCCTGTGGAATTCGCTCCGGGGATTGAGCAGCATCCCCAGTTTAAATCCCCTTTGACTAATTGAATTTTTTTTTCTTTTTTTTTTTTTTCTTCCATTCGCATTTTGCTTCCTCTGAGTAAGGTTACCCCCAAGGATTATTTCCCCTTTGCAGCCTTTTTTCCGCCACAGCCCCGCTTCTCTCCGTTTTCACACACGTGGGAGTATAATCCATCATCGTAATCGTCCCATTTCAACCCTTCTCATAAGATGATAAAGGTTGGGTACCTCCTAACCTGGGGAAAGACCCTCCTTTTTGTCTTGACAACACTTTTGCTTCTCCTGTACGACGTGAAGATAGTCATCTTATCTGAGGGGAGAAGCTTGAAGGGGTACCACCACCCCGCAGTTGGTTCGTGTCTCGTCACCCCGCTGCGGCATCCTTCCGAACATCGGTTTGAAGCTCGACGTAGAAGCATCGGGTGGAGAGGCGAACGAAGAACCCCCCTGTTAAAAATCCCTGAGCTTCACCCTCCCAGGGGAAAAAAAGAAATCAACGTTGCAATCTTGAAGCGGTCACCTCTGCCAAGTGGATCCATTTTGCTGAACTGGAAGGAAGGTGTAAAAAAATTAGTGACCACGTGGGGGCTGCTTCAGACAAAAGGAGAAGACAGCGAAGAAGTGCACCCCTTGAAGAACTGCCGGTGGGAAATCACGACGTTCAATTTTTTGATGCAAAAGAGGAGCTCCTTTTTCCTTCACATCCACGAAAATGGAGCAGTGAAGATGTCTAACCATTTGGAAGGGACGTGGTTCTACAGTAACTATCACTTAACTTGGACCATCGAGCATCCGGATCGGCGTGTGTACTACACGGCAGAGGTGAACTCATCGAGTGGTGAAAAACGGAGTGACTGATGTAGGGTTTCGCTCCAAGGGCTGCCCTCCTCAACTGCTATCCCATGAGATGGTATACTCCTATATGTTGACTCATTCTTCGGATGTTTTTTTCCCCCCCGTTACGTGTGCCGCCACACCCCTCCCCAGCTCCTCTGGAATGGCGACAAAAGCAAACTGGTCAAGGGCATCATCTATGAGGAGCAGAAACGACGGCGCTTCTTCCTGCCCGCGTACTTTTTCAGGAAAATCCTCGGGTCGTTCGAAGGACGCGTCTCCAGGGAATAGTGCCCTTCATCGTCGCGTTTTCGTTTTGTTTTCAAAGTGGGGGGAGGCAAATCCATTTTGATAGAGAGAAGTATCCGCGGTAGGAACACTCTCGGTGCTGTCCCTGATGACGGAATCACCTCCTCCGCAGCATGTGGATGACGCCTTGTATGATCCTTCGAACAACTTGTATAACCAAATTCACAAGGATCCTTCTCGTGGCTATGGAGATGATCCCGTATGCATATCGTATAACTTGTCTCGCCAGGAGGTTTCCTTTCCCGATTTTTAAATAATCAATGAATTCACTTGGACTGACACGAGGATGCGCGTTTTTCAGATTATTTTTATAGAAAAGACCAAAGTCTGACATGTCGTCGGATTCTATCAGGGGGGAGGAGAATGTGGGTTGCATATTACTTCGGGATGAATTGAAGGGGTGCAGACGAGGGAGTGCTGACGAGGCCTCCACGGTGAAAAGAAGAAGAAAAAAGAGAAGCTAAGGAAAGGGTTCGAAGGTGGCCGAACGGGATCGAAACGGGCCACCCCCCTTATGTCATTTACACGCTACACATGCAAGTACGCTGTGGACGTTTGGCGCTTGGCGATCCCCTCTGCGCTCCTCCCAATTAGCACTGCCCATTTCGCACCTCCCATTTCGCACCTCCCGCTCCGCGCTCATGCACCTTTGCTGTTGCCGCTTATCTCCCGCTCCGTGATCTCCTGCTTGACGACCCCGTCGTGGTAGGTAATTATTTTGGTCGTCTTCTCGATGATTTTATTTCCTCGCGGGATGATCTCCGTTTTTATGTTCGTCTCTGCGGGGGGGGAGAAGTGGTAGTAAGCGGCAGGAACGGGCAGGAAGTGGTATAACGTGCCAGGAGTGCATCGAACAGGTTGGAAGTGAGGCCGGGGTTGGACCCCCATCGTACGCATGAATATATCAGCAGACTTGGCCAAGGGGATTACGTTTTATATTTGCATTGCTGCTCCGATAGGATCCTGCGAAGGGAAAGGGGTCGTTCCGATGGGGCAGTTGCGATGAGGCAGTTGCGATGAGGCAGTTGCGATGGGGCAGTTGCGATGGGGCAGTTGCGATGGGGCAGTTGCGATGAGGCAGTTGCGATGAGGCAGTTGCGGTGAGGTAGCTCCGATGAGGCCATTCCGACGAAGCCGTTCTGATGATGCCATTCCGATGGGGCTATTCCAGTGGGATGTTTCGCATGTAGCGCATCGTGAGAGTGAAATTCACCCAAGACTGCGGGTCATCAGTTAGATCTGGTGAGCCTTACCCGGTACTCCGAAATTTGTGAAGAAATCGTTCCCCATCCCTCTCGAGGGGAAGTTGCCCTGAGGAGGAAAAACAGTTAAAGGTGCGGTGTAGAAGAAATAGGTTCCAGGGATGATGTGTTCATTTGGGGGGGTATGTTGCTAGGGTATCTTATAAGGTTATGTTATGCGGCTATGTCGTGAGGGCCTCCCCCATTGGTGCCGCTCCACAGAAGAAACACGGGCAACTCTGCACTCCTGGGTTACCTCCCCAAAAACGTTCGATTTAAAAATATCATTAAGGTTCATGGTGCCAAAGACTTTCTTGAAGACCTTCTCGATTTCTTCATCACTCATTCTCTTCGTCTCGTAAGTGTAATTTGTTTTACCACTGCCGTTCGTGTTGGCGTAGTTGTTATGAAAGTGGCCACCAGAGAAACCACCATTCAGTTGACTGTCATAGATGTGCTTCTTATTTTCGTCACTTAACGTCTCATATGCTTCTGTTATTTCTCTGAACATTTTCTCCGATTCTTTTCGATTGTTTGGGTTCCTGTCTGGGTGATACTTGAGGGCCAGCTTCCTATATGCCTGCTTTATTTCATTCTTACTGCTGTTTCGTTGGACGTTTAGGATTTCATAGAAGTTTTTTGTGCTGAAGGGTCTGCATGGAGGAGAGGGGGGACGGGTGTGCGCAGCGAATGTGAAGTGCGATGTGCAGATCGTTCCCGGGGAAGCGCTGGTGAAGAGGTGATGACACGGCGGTGAAGTTGCTGCTAAACGCTGAACGAAGCGATAACCCACACAGACGCATAACCATCGCATAGCTTGGCAGCCCCTTCACCCCGCGGGGAGTACCTCCTCTGGAGGGCGCAGTTGGGGGCCTCCTTGAATAGCCCCCTCTGGATGGTGCCCGATACGCCCAAGCCATGGGAAAAGCCAAAGTACCGCTTACGAATGAAAAACATTTTTGTGAATAACTTTATCGGTTGGAGATTTGCTCGGTGGCGATGATCGCAGGGGGGGCCTACAAACACCACAGAGGATTGACACTTGGTTGAGATGTTTAAATGACTCCTTTTTTTTTTTTCTTTTTTGTATGAGTGTACTCATCGAGGAGGTGGAAAAGAAAAAAAATAATTTCCCTCTCTGGGTGGGAACATAGTGCGTAATTGCACGTCCGGATGGGGAAGCGGTTTAAAATGGGGAGGCCGCTTAAAGTGGGAGGGAAGCTAAAACTGTGGGTCTGTCAAACTTTGCCCCCATTTGGCGCACCTCGTCATGGTGGCACTCATGATACAAATTAAGCACCATCACAGTTAGCCCCTTGCGTAGAAAAAAGAAAAAAAAAAAAAAACAGTGACAACATTTTTTGTTCCAGCGAAGTGGTACCCAAACGAATATGCTTCCTTTTTCCTATTGGGGGCCGCCCTCAGAAGTTAACGGCCAAAATGGCAACCGCCTCCTCCCCCCCAATTGCAGACCCTGTTATCTCCCACACTACGGCATGAACAACTGGTGCGTGGGAGCAACTCAGTTTGCACTTCCTCATTGGCCACACCGCAATGACCACAGCGCTACATATTGCAGATACTCTGTCGGCGCTTCACCCCTGTGCGGTTACACACCCACGAACGGACGCACGCTCTGATAATTGATAAAATTAACCAAGGGGGAAAAAGACTTCATTTAAGTACTTTAAAAGGAAAGAGAGGGGAGGCGAAGTGGAGGAACAGATGGGGCGGGGAAATGAAACGTAACATATAAAACGGGGGGGGAAAAAAATTCCTCATTTGTTTTTTGTTTTTGTTTTTTCTTTTTCCCCACACATATATATGCACATACGATTGGAAGTGCACATGGAATACACAGACATGAAGGAGAAACAAACAACCAATTTGGTTACATGGGGAATATGGGGATGTAGTGGTGACGTGGAGAAATGGGTAGTTAAAAAGAAAGGAGGGGGGGGAATGGGACAACACAGACACATACACGGCATGGGTACACAAATGTATGTACATGAATGTGCCTACATCCCTCCGAGCGCTGAGCTCCTAAGATAGGAAACCTTTTAAAATGAACGCATGGGCCGCAACGCCGACGCAGAGCAGTTGCATGCCCAGCAACATCATCACGTTCAAGTAAACTTACATCAAGATGAGCACACACAACTTATCACATGTGTGTGCAAAGAGGTAACACATAAAATTAAAATTAAAAGGGGGAGAGAAAAGGGGAAGAAAAATGGGGGGCAGGTCAATCATGCACAGCAGGGTTTTTTATGATAAGCGTGCATGGATAATAAAATATGGGTTGAAGTGGTAGAGCCCCCAGACAGAGGCATAATCCCCCATCTCTCTTCAGACATCTCTTCCCCTCACTGCATAGCACCTGTGTTTTCTGGTTCTTCGTAAGGTTTCGTGTCTTCACTTTGGAATGGGTACTTCTTCTTTATTAGTTTGTAGATCGGGGCACTCCTGCATGTAGCATATGCGCCGCGAACGTGACTGAGTTCCTACTGGCGCTTTTCTCAAAGGCGGTGAAAATTGTGATAAAAAGAAGAAAGAAACTCCTTTTCGTAGTCTTTGTTTTTTTAACGTTTTTGTTGAACTTTCCTTTGCTTTTTTTTCTGTCCTTTTTTTTTCTTTCCTCCTGCTTGAGAAGCAAAGCCTTCTTCACACATTTTCATTTAACAGATTGTCAAAGGAGACTCCCTTGCTCAGGCATCGAATGTAGTGATATATAAAATCTCCCATGAGTACCAGCTGGACGACTTGCATGATTACGACCCACACGCCGACGTACGACTTGATCTGTAGAAGGGGAAGGGGTGAATAAGTGGCAGAGATGAATAAATGGCAGAGGTGTACAAGCTGCGTGGAGCCAACTCTATGCGCACCGCGTCAAAAGGGGAACGCAACCCGCATTCATGTTGTCATTACGATGTTGTCTGAGGAATTCAACTCCTTATGTGATACTATCCAAAAGAGGAAAGACAAAACCTAAGGGGTGGGCACGAATAGAGAAAAAATGCCAAGTCAACCGGTGAGAAAATATAGGGAAAAAAAAAAAAGTAAAAAATGCAGTTTATACACACATTCACCGCAAAGGGGTTACCTTTGAAAAGGCTTGTGACGCCAAGAAGTGGGTGGTAAAGGCTGCCACTTTGCCCTGAAGAGGGAAAGGGGGAACAAGGGGAAAATGGTGGCAGTTTCACATCGCAAGGTTACGCGCGGGGGGTAAAATAAAAAAAAGGCAGCAAAGGGGGTGCAAAATATGTGCGAAAGTTAAGGGGAAAATCGCCTGAACGGTGCAGGTATTTTTTCCTTTTTTTTTTTTTTTTTTGGCTCCCCTTTTTACCTCCTTCTGAAACATGGACAGCTGCGGTAGCACGCACACGGACTCCAGGTACAGGGCAAAGGACCAGGCGACCTGCAGGGTTGAAATGGGGTGGGGGGTTTGCGTCGATGTTCACGTGTGTGATTGCGCAGGTTAACTTTTTGCTGTTTCCTTTCGGCTCCGTTGCTACTCCGTTGCAGCTGCCTGCTCTAGGTCTGTTCTACGCCTCTTCCTTTTCTGCTCTTCCCTTACATCAGCCGGGAGAAACGAGTTCAGCGAGGGGTGCACGAAAATGGCGATGACAAAGGCGGGGATGATTAAAAAGAGGTTGTTAAAGATATCGTTCGTGCTGTCGTAGCTGCTTTTGTATTTATATCTGCACAGGTACACAATGCAGCAATTGATGAATAGCGAAATGGCTTCGACCAGTTGGTAAAGCCAATCGCCACTTTTATCGTAAGGCAGGTATCCTTCGAATGGTACGATGGAGAGCAGCCTAGCCGTGTTCAGCACGACGTAGCATTCCATCATCTTCAGAGACACCCCTGCACACGACTTATTCATTTCGATTTTCACGAACACCATGAGGAAAGAGAACATGCTAATCACGGACGACAAAGTTAACAGGAAGGAAAAGTCTCCATCGGAAAACAAGTGGTAAAATACAAATATGATCAGCAGGAAGAAGCAGTATATTTTTATGGACGCGCTGTGATCTGACAAATATCTCTTCATTTTCTCCACGTCGTTCACTTTTCGCATGAAATCGTTTACACCCTTCATTTTGATCCTTGGGGGGGAGTGAATTCGGTTACTGCTTTGTTTTCGGTTACGCCTCTGTTTGGGGTCACACCTCTGCTTGGGAACACGCCTTTGTTTGGAGTCACAGTTGTACCTTCCTTTCCGCCTCTGTCTCGATTACGCTTGTTACTGGCTAATAAACGATCAGCTAGCTACCTACGCGCATTCCAACACGTGCACACATTCGCCTGTGTATATGGGTATATCGAGCTGGTTTTCCTCCCTGCCTGCGTGCGGCTGTGTGGGGGGAATGAGCAACCGACTCCTTCTCCTCGTGTGTATGGCTAGTCTTAAAAGATGTTCTGAGAAGCTGTTCACTTCGGTGTGGTGCGAAGGGGGAGGTTCACATGCAGAAAAATATGAGCGTGTAACACATGGCACACGTTTTGTCGCACTGGAGGAGTTCCCAATGAGAGCTGCTCCGTTTGTCTGTTCTTCGCTTTTCCCCTGACGATGGTGAGAGTTCGTCCTGCGCCCCTTTCACCCCTTCCGTTTTTTGCTTCTAAGTGTACCTGCGAAGGTGTTATTACAATCCCCCTCTTTCGCTCCTTGGCAAAAAAAAAAAAAAAAAAAAAAGTGGTGAGCAGACTATTCGGGCTGACGTAAGTCGGGACTATGCGCTTCGTTCCTTCGTTTCATTGGGGTAATAATCGATCTTGAGCTTTCTTCGCCAATGGGTTTTTGTATACACGCGTAGGAAAGGATGTGTGGGTTATGCGTGAGGGTACGCACATGAGTTATGCCTGTTGGCATTCTTGTGGGCATATAAATCAATATGTATGTTGGCATCCGTGTGAGCATGAATCAGCACATGGGTCCCCTTCTCTTCACGCGCGTACAACGAGTGAACTTGGCGCTCTGCGCAGTGTATGGACGTCAGTTCGCCAGCTTGGCTTTCCTTCCTGCCTCCCGATCTGTAACTCTCGTGAGAATGTCCTTGCGCTTGTCAGTGTTTGCTGCTCAGCCTAACCGGCAGTTTGTGACATGCGAAATTGCGATTATTCGCCTGGTTGCATATTCGCTGCTTGGCTACTTGACATTCTTGGCATACTTCGCTGACTTGGCTTCATATCGCGAGGTATCACTTTCGATTCACTTTCAATTCGAAGTATTCCGCGTTATTTCGCTTGCATATCATCATAAAAAGCTTTGTAGTTTCTCTTCTTTTTTTTTTTTCCTTTTCGTCATCATTTGTGTTTTTTTTTTTTTTTTTTTTTACTTTGCCAGATCAGGAGGTAGGAAAAAAAAAAAAAAAAAAATTATCTTTCCCTTTTGGTTACCTCCCCCGTGACGACTACATTCACGAAATACAAGCCAACACGATGGTGTGATTTTCCCTTTTTTTATCATATGTGTGGCATGCTGATATGGGAGAAAGAAGAATATATGTTTCCCCCCCAGGGGAGGTACACCTTTTCCGCTCACGCCCCGCTGGGGGTTAAACAAATCTGGGTCGGTCATGTACAGAGGGGGGATAAGGCTAAAATGGATTAAACGGGTGTGGGATCGTGCCAATCGGGGAAGCATGTCACTCGGGGGAGCCTACCAGTCGTGGGATCATGCCAGTCGGGAGAGTGTACCAGCCTAGTTATTGCACCAGCCGAGTGATCTCCAGACCTCCGAAGCACGTCGCTCACATGCATGCGGCAACCGCCGGGAAATTCTCCGCCGAATGGGGTAGGGCTTCCCTTCGTGTAACACGACATGTGGCATGGGGAGGAAGCCCCTCTCCCCCCCTTACCACGCGCTCTTCAAACGCAGTGCCAACCATGTGTTTTTTCGTCCCTCTACATTGGGTTCAACACGATGTGAGTGTTTATTCCGTACACAGTACTCACGAGTTGGAGGTACTATACCCATGTTTTGTCATCCCATCAGAAAGACGACCAGACAAGTCATTCCCGTGAGTGATTGTTTTATATTCGCCTCTGTCATTAATTGGATGCTTTCTGTTGCGCCACTTTTTTTTTTATTCCCTGTCCCTCCTTTGTATAAGCAAAGGAAACGAAAGAACGTAGCAGATTGGGTACCTTTCGAAATGTAACAAATAAGGCTAAACAGACAGGGTGGTGGAAAACACGCGATTGTTCTTTGTTCCCACCGACTGGGAAGCATCGATGGATTCGATGAACGGTCTCCAATTATGTTGCAAAAATTTGGTTTTCCGATTCGTTTGCAAAGTTGTGTTATCCATAATGGTGAGTTAAGCAAAATTCTGTCAATTTTTTTTTTTTTTTTTTTTGTTCCTCAGCTAGCCAAACTTAGTTTTGAACACACCATCCAGTGAAGCATTCCAAGTGGGGAAAAAACAGGCATCCACTGGAGAGGCGCTCTCTAGGTGGTCCTACTCATGGCCGATCAGCCACACAGCAAAATTGTTGGTGCCTGTGCGAATGAACCAGAGGGTGCGGCAACTTTGCTTCCACGGTAGGACTAATCTCCCCATCTGTGTTCGCCAAATTGGCGGCAGCAGTCGTTCCACTGGTCCCCGCGGGTTGCTCACCGGAGTGGTTCACAGGTGTGGCTCATCAGAGTGATGTCCCACGTTAGGGGTCCTTTCCTCACCCATCTGCGTGTCACCGCGGTTTGCGCAACTCATCACTCCGAACCGGTGCGGGAAACTCGAGGACATAAAAATAAAAAAGTTACAGAAAGGCACATGTGCCTGTGGGAGCTGTACGTGTGGGTTTCCCCGTCCTTCCCTTCCCCCTCTCCACATATCTTTCCTCTTTTAAATATTAAAAGAGAAGAGGACAGGTATCTCCCCCCACCACGTGAATGTCTATTTTGTGCAGGAGGGGACATGCCGAGGTGAGTGGGGATGATCTCAATTTCAGTATCGCCTGGCACACCGACCGACTGATCAGTGGGCGTCTGACCTAAGCGCATAAATGGGAAAAAAAAAAAAACATTGCATAAAAGGAACTCTTTTCTTAAAACAGATATACCATTTGGAGGTATTCCCTTTTGATGTGACTTGACAAGTTCTC